AAGAGGTGAGTCACTTTTATCGAACAGCACTCTATGTGTCAACCAAGCAAGGTAGAACGGAGGTTGAATTTTAGCAGACTGCATCTAAAATTAATTTATCATCTTTCCTATAAGGGTGCTTGGAAATTGAATACCGATTTCACAGCTATGAGGCAGCCAATCAAGTCTGAACTAAGGTTGAATGCGAAGAAACTGCGTCTAGAATTAGTTTATCCCCTTTTTTAGTTTGTTTGTTCGGAAAGTAATTACGTATATCACTGCTATGAAGTCTGAGTCATTTAACAAAGACGAACGGAAACTGCGTCACTTGTGGACAACCAACAGTAGCAACAACTAAAATGGATAGCATATGCAATTGGAAGAGAAAAATAAAGACATAATCAAGATGAGGATATTCCATATTTCTTCAAATAAACGGTTAGGAAGTAAATCTCTATCAATATTTGAAAGAGCGATAACAGATATTGGACTTGAGAAAGCTATTTTCCTGAACAGTCCTGGGTATGACGATAAACTACATCCAACAACAAGACCCCTGATCAGGAGATTGGAGGTTTTGAGGAGCGTGGAACCACTTCTTAATTACTGATGTTCCTATGTCCACTCTGACCCGGGTGGTAGCACCTGTTAGGGTCCCAGCTATGGGTAAATAGTGACCCCCCCAAACAAAAACAAAACTCTATAAATGTATAAAAAAATACATTTTTATAGTAAAATTACCAGCAATACATTTTATCTGTGGTTGAAGATATGCAGTTGTGTTCAAGATATTTAGATTTCAGCATTAAATGACCCATAGACGTTTTGATATATCGCTAAACAAAATCAACCAACATGAAACAATTCCTTCATGATATTAACACATAATATCCTACAATTTCTTAAAGAAATCAAACTGTATTTCAAAATATAACATCAACAAAGCCACAACATAAAACACACTTATGCACAAAAGCTGAGTATTATCTACCATGTATTCAATTGTGAGAGCAAAATAACATATATCATATTTTTATTACTTCAAAGCTGCAAAGGAAATTAAATTTCGACATTGAATGACCCATGAGGTGTTGGCGTGACGTTAAACAAATCAATCTATATTTTCGAGAGCAGATTTTTCTTTAATAAGAGTTTTCAAATATTCAGGCCGGTAGACGAAACTAAATAAACCTACTGTTTAATAAATAAATGGAGTGTCTACTCAAATACGAATATCCACTAAAAATAACGTTTAAGTAAGGAAAATATATACATACAGAAATACATCACGTCGGGGTCACCAACTTGTAGAGGGTCGTGGGTGTTTAAGTGTTGTTGAATTAGGAACACGTGCTGTTTATTCCTGCTAGAAGAAAGTCCAACTACAAGAACATGGCGGATACAACTTAGGTCCAACCGAAGATGTAAAGAAAACAAAAAGACCGATATATATATATATATATATATATATATATATATATATATATATATATATATATATGCGAAAATATATAGAAAAATAGGAAGGAACTGGTTAGGTAAATAATCCAAAGTCCCTTAGTATTTAGGTTGAAGATGGAACAGAGCTTACTTTAACTTAATTTAATTCAAATAATTATATTGAAGTTTTTCGGCTCTTGTTTTGAAACATGAGACTTCTTATGTCGCGAATTGGAATCATATTTTTAAATAAATATTTATATATATATATATATATATATATATATATATATATATATTATATATATATAACAAATATATGTATTAAAACAACAAATATACAAGTTACAAAGACATCAACATTTGTGTTTGTATGCGAACGTGAAGAGTTTATATCTTGGTGAATGTTCGTACGTACGTGTGTGTGTGTGTTTCATGGCGTTTTCCCACAAGTTGGCGAAAACGCGGATCTCTGCGAGAGATCTTATTTTCAAAGGCGTCCGCTGAAATGCAGAGGGAAAAAAAGAGTACGAGGCGAGAAGTCGCCCAGTATTTATAGTGTAGAGAGAGCGACACCTAGTAAACAATTAGGGAATTAAGGGGGAGCTAACTCCGACACCTAACTGTCTCCTTTCTCAATACCCACAAAAGACAAAGTGTGACTAACACTATTACCGTTTGAATCTCTCGTTACGGTTTCACAAAGCGAGAGAACATCATCTGACGTTATCAGTAATTGAACAAGGTCCGTATGTTGATTGATCGATTGCATTAATCTGTTTCACGGCCCATCAACCCAGGTTGACCATTTAATGCCGAAGAAGGTTTTCAGGGGAATCATGTGAGTTCTTTTCTTTTGGGAGGCAGGGGATTATATAGAGAAAAAAAATTCTTTGTGTTTTCTTTTGCTTTGAGAATTGTAGGTTGTATAAAACTGCTTGCAGAACAATGTAGCTTTGCAGGTTCGGTAAAGAGTTTAAATATTTTTAATATTTTCCTGCAGATCCTAATTTCTTTAATGAAATTTATCACATTATTTGGATCCTTTAAGTCAGGGGCCTGGCAACCTACGGCACGCGTGCCACACGTGGCAGGCCAAGTAATTTGCCATGGCACGCAGCCGCACATGACGTCAGGAAGCCCGAAGCTATAACTACAACAACGTAAAGATATTTAGCTGTTTCAATTTTACTATATACTAAAGTATATATAATATACATGACTATATAAAATATATTGTAGAACAGGTATATTGACCTAGATTTGTATAAAAAAAAGTAAGGTGTTGGCACACTGAATGACTTTAAGACCCTAAGTCGGAACATAGTTAGAAAAAGGATGCCGACCTCTCGTTTGCAAGGTCCGGGGGTCACTCGAAGTAAAGGATTACGTTAGGAGGCCATTTCTGTGTATAGGAGTGGAAGATAACGGCTAAGCCTAGCATTGAAGAGGATAATATTAGAGTGATCAGGGAAACATCCTCTTGGGAGTCGATTCCAAAGGGCAGTGGTTCGCGAAAAGCTGCTGCTCGAATGGAACTTACTTCTCACCGATGGAATACGGAGGGAAATGTGTGTGGTTTGCTGCTATGTAAGTGGCACGGCGTCTTCTTGCTGTAAAGGTTTGATTTGGCGGGAGCAGGGAATGTAGTTCGTCCGAGAACTTTCCGTGGAAGTAATGGTAGATCAGCGAAAGGCTTGCCATGCCCCGCCTGTGGGTGAGAGGTTGAAAGGTGGAGAATAACACCCAAATCTTCGTTGTTGGTGTTCACGCCATAGACTTAATTGCTTTTTGTTTGATTGTTTTATTTTACGGTTTATCAACCCCTCTTGGGTTATTTAAAGCCGAGACATTCTTATATTTCATAAAATGTATTCAATATATGATTTTTCGGGGATAACTCCTCCTTAATTTGCTAATTGTTCACTAGGGAGCGTTCTCCCTACACTATAAATGCTGGGCGATTTCTTGCCTCGTTCTCTTTTTACTTTGCAGTTCAGCGGACACATTTAAAAGATGTGATCTCCCGCAGAGATCCGCGTTTAGCCCACCTCTGGGAAGACGACATGAAACACACACACACACACACACACACACACACACACACACACACACGTACGTACGAACATTCATCAAAATACGAACTCTTTATGATGCCTATGTCCATTGTAAATGTTGTTGTTTAATACATATACTTGTTTGTATATATATATATATATATATATATATATATATATATATAGAAAATGGAGAAAGTCCGACAATTTATTTATTAAAGACATTTTATGTTTAACGTTCTTTTTTATAGATACAAGTATTTAAGTAAATGCTCTGTTTATAATAAACAGTATTAAATAACATTTACCGGCCTGAATGTCCGAGAAATTTTCATAGAAAATATTCGTCCTTTGACAGGATTCGAACCTGCATCCTATACGGAACCGTCATTTACGCTGACGTGCCTTACTTAAATACTTGTATCTATAAAAAAGAACGTTAAACATAAAAATGTCTTTAATAAATAAATTGTCGGACCTTGTCCATTTCTTAATATATGACGTCATTTGTTTACATTCGATACGCCAGAGCAGTTATGAATGTACGAGATTCATGGAAGATTGAAGTTTATAAGCTGGTTCGAATCCTGTCAAAGTAAATTCTGACCTTGTCTAAATGTTATTTAATACTGTTTATTATAAACGAGCATTTACTTTGTACTTGTATCTATAAAAAAGAACGTTAAACATAAAAATGTCCATATATATATATATATCTCTTGTTTGTTTTCTTTACATTTCTTTAAGGTGGACTCAATCTTTTATCAGGAGTTAAACACGTGTTCCTAATTTAACAGCACGTAAACCCAGAGTCTGCTCCATACTAAAGTATATATATTATACAGGGTGTCCATAAAGTTCGTGTGCACTTTAAAAAATCTATAACCTTATTTGTCTTTGCGATAGGAATAATTTGTAAAAAGGATTAGAAAGAAGTATATCTATATTTTTTGTTTTATTGAAATTTTATTTAACTTTCCACATGTCCTTCATCATTAGTAATACAAAGGGTAATACGATTTTGCAGTTCACGGAAAACATTTGCCAACTGATTTACAGTAATGCCTGAAATCACATTAGTTATTTTAGCTATACTTAAAACTAGGTACATTAAACTTTATAACATTTTTTACAGATTATTTCTATCGCAGATACAAATAAAGTTATAAAGTTTTTAAAGTGCACACGAACTTTATGGACATCCTGTTATTACGATATAAGATATTTTGTCGAACAGATATATTGACGTTGACTTGTATAAAAATACGTAGGCTGTTGGGACACTGAATGATTTTAAAGGCCTAAGTCGGCACATAGTTAGCAAAAGTTTGCCAACCCCTGCTTTGCAAGGTCCGATTTGTAGAATTTCTTTCGGGTTTGCTGAAATTTATCGCAGTTTAGTAGCATATGTTTAACAGCGAATGATTTCTGGCGTGGGATAAATACTGGCGGTTACTAATGTTTTAGTAGATGTTGGTGGATTATGTACCACTTCCTCTCTACTTATCTTTCTGTAACTTGGCTGTCTTTCAGTAATAATTGGTTGGAAGTTGCGTAATTTGTTGTTTTAAGATTTGCTGTATAATAGCTGCCATTTTTTCTTTAATGATCCCGTTTTTTTATATTTGAGAGGGTCATGTTAATCGATTCCTTTGCCATTTTGTCAGCCTTTCCAATCCCTTGGATGCCAATACGTCTCGGTATTCAGTATAAGACTATTACAATATCGTTTTTTTTTTATAAATAATTTTCAGCCGTATTTAGTGATTTATTTATTAAGGGGTTCTCATGTATTTATTATTCAGAGATGAAGCAGAGACAGAGCATCTGAGATGATGTTGAATCTATCGGACTCAACAGGACACGACCCCTACGATCAACGCTCAAAGCTTCGTCCATATTGACTTCACACACAGCCACCGACGGCTTCCTACCGTTGTCCCCTGTCCACTCAGGTACGCATACACATACCACATACCTATATATATATATATATATATATATATATATATATATATATATATATATATATATATATATATTCTAACCCCTATATATATAGGCTGATCGCTTCAAGTTGAACGAAGCATAACTGATTTGGCATCAGTTGTAGATTCTAACTCTCTCTCTCTCTTTTATATATATATATATATATATATATATATATATATATGTGTGTGTGTGTGTGTGTGTTATAAATTAATTGATTTGAAATATGGTTTTTTTCGCTACACAGTTCTAACCATGTTTCAAAAGTGGAAGCTAAAAGCTTCGAATTTAATTTTGCAAATTAAATTAAAGACATTAGTTCCATTTCATCCTCAAGCGAAATTTACATTGAACACTATTTTGTAAAAATAAAAATATCTATAGGAACACCGAATTATATCTCACTGTTCTTTCTTTTTATATATATATATATATATATATATATATATATATATATATATATATATATATATATATATATATATATATATATATATATATATATATATATGTGTGTAGGGGGTAGAATCTCTGACTGATGCCAAATCGGTTGGGTTTCGGTCCCGGTTTGAAGCGATCGGATGTCTAGCTACATTGATGAATTGTGATACAGCGAATAAATATGTTGTTGACTATATATATATATATATATATATATATATATATATATAACGTGCGGCTGCACTCGTTTTCAATGCACACCCATCTTCTGGGGCGGCGAGCCATTCCCTTTCACAGACACCGTCTCAGACACATTAGTGATTGTTCAACACTCACCAAGCCAACCTGTGGGTTAGGGTACATCTATGCTGAGTTATGTGACGGATAGAAGATTCGTTCTTACCGTAGATCTTATTAGGCACAATAAGAGATTAATAATAATAACTAATAATAAAATAAAACAATTCTAATAATATACGATAGTCAAAGTCATCTTTTGGACATTTATCTTCCTCATGTATTTTTTGCCAACATCTTCAATGTATTTCTTTTCTTCTTCTTAAATCGACCGGTTCACACTCCTCCCTGTTTTTTGTGCAGGAGGAAAGATTTATCTGTTTTCTGTTTAGGATTGGGTTTCTGGTTCTTTCTAAAGCCCCCCTTTAACTCTATACTTCTAACGTCTCCCTCTAAACGCTAAAAATTTTATTTACTATTCATTTTTTATTAAATTTTTATTCCTGATCCTTCAATAGGAGTAAATAGGTTTTCCTATCGCCCAGTTCGCACTCTTCCCTAGTCTTTTGAACAAAAATAGAGGTTTATCCCTTGTTTCCGACATGTCATGGCTTCCCTCTGCTTGTTCTACAAATATTTTCAAGGTAACTGCTCAGACGAGCTATTTTTTTTGTTGGCATCCTCATTATATGAATTTATGATAATTCCTCTGGGTTCAGTTGGGCCCTGTCTGTGAGAAAAAGAGCATCTTGACCTAATTCACTCCGCCAGAAATTTGAAAATGGCCTGCTGTACTGCTTGGCATTCGCACCGGAATACGAGCATTGCAGTGTGTTTGGGTGTCAATCTGAGGACAGGACAGAGGATTCGGAAAGAGTTGGATGAGTCTAATGGTGATTACAAAGTTACGGTAGCTTGGCAAACACAATCTGATCGTTTCGATAAGAAAAAAAAAATGTTGGTGATGGCCTCAGACTCGACGCGGAGGCCTACATTAAGTGCCTTGAGGAGTTAATGCTGCCTTTGGGTCAAGAAGGTGGCTGCTGTAAAACTCCATGTCTGGCAACAGGACTCTGCTCCATGACACACAATCAGGAAAACCCAGTTATGGCTGTCAGACAATTTCTGCGGCCACACCACTCCTTACATCTGGCCAGCTCACTCCCCAGACTGCAACCCCCTTGATTATTATGTGTGGGGTGCAGTTGAGTGAGAGACCAACAAAACTCCTTATAACACCAAAGATGAACTGAAGGCAAGGATTATGGCAGCATTCACCTACTCCGACATGGAGACCGTCCAGAAAAAGTTGCTGGAGACTCCGAAGTCTCGTGTGGGCAAGTTATGATAGCCAATGGAGATTTTATTGAATAAATTTAATCTTTAGTGTTTCGAGATATGTTTTGTGTAATATATGTAAATATATCTGTTAAAATGAGATGTCAGTGTTAGTTTGATTTGGGCGTCAGTTGGACGACAATTTATCCCGTGCACCGTCTATGCCGCAATAGCTGGGGAGGGAAAACAAGCGTGTACCACACCTGGAGAATTACCGCCTACACCCACTAACACCGCTGAACATCATACTCACTCTCACTCTCTCTCTCTCTCTCTCTCTCTCTCTCTCTCTCTCAGCCTTGAGTAAATTAAACAATGACTTTGTCCAGGTGATGCTACAACGGAATTTATGGTGGTACGGAACAGTTTCAGCGCCTGATGTCTGCGGAATTCTCGAAACAGAAAAGTGTCAAGGAAACAGGAGAGTTTCTTGCACAAGAATTTATATATATATATATGAAGGGTGCAGTGTGCGTGTCGCACATTTCACAAGTAAAGAAAATTATCAAATTTCCCTCTTAGATGGACAGACGCATCGAATATATATATATATATATATATATATATATATATATATAACTATGAACCTAAAGAGCCAGGTAAACCTAGCTTGGTTTCATTTGCCGGATCGTCAGGGTGCACTGGCCAGTACACCCTGACGATAGTTAGAATTACTCTACTTAGTATTGAGCACGTTATTTAATTACTTTACTCGTTTTGCAAGTTTTATTCTATGGATTCTGAGTTTGGATTCTGGACGATTGTTTTCGCCTGAATTACATGTTCTTAGTTCTTTCTTCTTTTTATTCCTTATTTTTCCTTGAGTATTGCTTTGTTCATTTACAAGCCAAAACACCTAAGGTTTTTCCGGACGTGTATAACTATTTACATTCATATATATATATATATATATATATATATATACAGAATGATAGATAGATAGATATGAACAGAGTGAAAATGATAGATATGAAACAGCAGATACCTAGCTAGCTAGGTAGCTAGCTTGAGAGAGAGAGAGAGAGAGAGAGAGAGAGAGAGAGAGAGAGAGACATGTGTGTATAGCAGTAAATCCATAACTGGTGAAAGTATACACACTTAATACAACGCTTATCCGATCAGCCTCATAATCAATACCAATTCTGAGGGATTTTCTGATCAAACGTGTGTTGAACTAACTACATCTATCTATCTATCTATCTATCTATCTATCTATCTATCTATCTATCTCAGTCCGTTTACATCTATCTATCTGTCTATCTCAGTCCGTTTACATCTATCTATCTATCTATCTATCTATCTATCTATCTATCTATCTATCTCAGTCCGTTTACATCTATCTATCTATCTATCTATCTATCTATCTATCTATCTATCTATCTATCTATCTATCTATCTAATGGGTGGTTAATTTTCTAAACCGACCAAAATATTATGTCTGTGCATTTGATCAGATTTCTGGAAATTAAATTTAATTCTCACCTCTATTTTCTCCGATGATAGAGAATGAAAATGCGTGTGTGCGGGGGGTGAGAGAGAGACAGAGAGAGAGAAAGAGAGACTGAGGGGGAGAGATAAAGTGAGAGAGAGAACGATAGATAGATAGATAGATATGAACAGACTGAAAAAGATAGATATGAAACAGCTGATACCTAGCCATCTAGGTACCTAGCTTGAGAGAGAGCGAGAGAGAGAAGGCGAGGGAAAGAGAGAAAGAGAGAGAAATGTGGGTACAGCAGTAAATCCATACCTGGCGAAATAACAACAACAATAATAATAATAATAATAATAATAATAGTCCCCTTCCTGGTCAGCATACTTAATACAACGCTTATTCGATCAATCCCATAAAATCAATTCTGAGGGATTGTCTCTATACATATACGTACGTGTATTTCTCTTTCTATCTCTCTATCTATCTATCTTTCTATCTCAGTGCGTTTTCATCTATCTATCTATCTATCTATCTATCTATCTATCTATCTATCTATCTATCTATCTATCTATCTGAGTCTTTTCACTATCTATCTATCTATGAGTGGGTGGTTAATTTCCTAAACCTGACCAAAAGTGATTTTCCCGCGCAAAATATTACGTCTGGGCATTTGATCAGATTTCTGGAAATTAAATTTAATTCTCACCTCTATTTTCTCCGATGATAGAGAATGAAAATGCATTTATGCGTGTGTGTGTGTGTGAGAGAGAGAGAGAGAGAGAGAGAGAGAGAGAGAGAGAGACAGATAGATAAATAGATAAAGGTGTTTAGAAATAAAGATATATTCGAACCTTGTTGATCTTTGCCAGTAATCGTGTAAGTATAATACGCCAATATCGTACCTCAATAATTAAACAAAAAAGAGATGTCTACGTTTAAATGAAGGCCAATCAACACTTGCATACACGTACGCACACACACACACACACACACACACACACACACAAACATACATACACAAACACAGGGACAAAATTCTTTCTAAAGGAATACGCGAAAGACTTCAAAAGTTTCCACTTACCGTTTGATATATGGCGCCTACGAAGAAAGGTGTAGAAAAATATTCCGCAGTTTTTTTTTCGATATTTCTTCTTTTTTTTTTAAGAATCAAGAAATGAAAGAACAACTAAAGTACATCCGAATTCGAATAAACGAGTTGATAGCAACAGCAGACAAGCAAAACGTTGTTCGTATCACGCATGCGTAGAAACCATAAGTGGACTTCCGCTCTCTCCCACTATCGCGTATCGGCTGCCTTATTCACAAAAATCTTGGTAGGTCGGCGTTACCGAAATTGTTCGAACGACCAGCCTCTGCCTGTTTTAATTATTATTATTATTATTTTACCGAAGCGCGTTTCGTCTTCAACGACAGATTGTTTTGCGTAAGGCAAAAGGGAGAGGCGGTGTGGATTGGTCGATGTGTGTGTCGCACCTTTGTTGGGACAACGTGTGAAGTATGGAGCGTTTATTGTTCGTAACGTCAAATGTTATGGTGTGGAAATCCGAGAAACCGCTTAAAATGCCCAGAGTGCGCGAAGATAGAATGTTATTTTTTTTTTCTTCTTCTTCTTCTTCTTCTTCTTCTTCTTCTTCTTCTTCTTCTCCCACCACCTCCTCCTTCAGGGCGCAGGTGATCATGGCCCTCTACAATTTCCAGTCCTTCGGAGGTCTTAATCTCCTTCTTCGTAGATGTGTTCTTCTTCTTCTTCTTCTTCTTCTTCTTCTTCTTCTTCTTCTTCTTCCACCTCCTCCTCCTCCTCCTCCTTCAGGACGCAGGTGATCATGGCCCTCTACAATTTCCAGTCCTTCGTAGCTCTTAATCTCCTTCTCCGTAGATGTGTACAGACGAAAGGGCCTTTTTTTTCAGATACGGACGAATAAACACGTCCAAAATACGCCGATCTTGATTTTTTTTTTTAATTTCTTTCTTCCGAGCTTGAACCGAATCCAATTGTCAACTCATACGTCCGGCAGGAGTGTCGCCACCGCTTGCGTACTTCAAGGTGCCTAAGTTTCTTAGTTACTATAAAAAAAAAAAAAAATCGTCTAAAAATGAAACCTTTTTCCAAAAATAATTGTCTGGAAAGAGGGTTAATAAATTGTGTCTTTTCTTTATTGTTCCTAAACCCTGTTCTGCCATCTATTTACTCAAGCTCTGCTTTCCCCTGTCCCTCTTTCCCTCAATCTCTCCTTGTGAGTATCAGATTTTCCAAGCCCTCCTTCCTCATTATGTGCGCTAAAATTTTTTAACTGTCTCTCCCTGGTGTTAAATATAAGTTTAGGCACAGTATGAACTGAATTCTCTTTTTCCCAGTCGGTGCTTTGATTTTGCACATTGGTAAATGTTTCCTCATCTTTGTTGACGCAACATTTGTCCGATCTGTTTTCCGGCCATCATTGCTTACATAAGGCGGTGTTACTATTATACATTGATTTATGCAGACCCCTTTATCTTTGTTGAATTTATTCCTGCATTTGGCTACTCTATTCCCCGGCCATTCTATATCAGAACAATTCGCAGATGGATGAGTAAACAGAAAGGAGACTAAAAGAACTCCTACAGCATGTAGCGAGGGAAAGCAAGAAGAAAAGACTAAGCAACATTCACAGTACCAAATGTACGGCTGTTGGCAGATAGAACAGCCCAACGTGGACATTACCAATACCAAAATCAAACAAGTACGGCAGTTAAAATATCTGCGAAATGTTTTAACAGAGGTCGGAAAGTGCGTCACTGAAATCTGAACGTGAATTGGAATAACGAAAGATGCCTTCCAAAAGCTAAGTAAATATTACGAAACAGAAAAAATCGTTAGAACAAAGTAAACAGTACTGGAGTCTTATGTAATACCAGTCCTCCTGTATGATAGTAAAATCTGGAAAAATATCCTCACAGATGAAGAGATTTTTTACATAACATCAGGAAGAGACAGTTTAAATAATACCTCATCTCAGAGATACAATCAGATAATAATAATAATAATAATAATAATAATAATAATAATTATTATTATTATTATTATTATTATTATTATTTTTTCTGTGGAAATATGATGGAAGTGTCGACCATATTATTTCAAGATGTCCGGAACTAGCAAAAAAATGAATATACCCGCAGACATAACAAAGTAGCGATATATGTGCACTGAAAGATATGCAAGAAGCACCAAATCGAAACCACTGAGAGATGGATGGTATGAGCACCAACCAGACATATTTACTTAAAATGACGATGTAACTATCCTCTGGAACATGCCAATTCAAACTGACAGCGAAATAAAAGCCAACAGACCTGATATTATCATAAAAAAAAAAAACAAGAAATTCAGGAAGTGTATGGTTATTGACATAGCAGTACTAACTGAGAGAAACACCTCCATGATCAAGAAATTGTCCAAATACAAGGTCTTGGAGATTAACAGGATCTGGAGAATGAAGACTGAGGCTGTACCAGTAGTAATCAGAGCACTGGGCCTCGTAAGAAAGGGAATGGACAGTTTTACTAACAGTGTCCCAAGTAACATTAATATACAAATAGCCCAGAAGATCACCCTACTAGGAACATCCCAAATACTAAGAAAAGTGATGTTAATCAATGACGATTCTCGTATAGGACCTAAGGACCATAATTTGGAACCGGTTCTACAGGATACAAAGCAGGAAACATAACATAGGCAAATAATAATAATAATAATAATAATAATACAACGCAAAAGACGAATCGATAGTTAGTCTCTGATATCGTGATAAAGAAAAAAATATGGCGGTAAATTTGCAGAAAATATGGAAATAAGTTTCTGACAATATGGAAGAACTACAAGATTGATTGGAATTGTAAGGATATAATTCAAGTCAAGTGCAAACGGCGACGAAATCGGAAATATGTGATTATCTTCTGATAAAAATTTTAACTACTATTATTGAGGACGAAAAACAAAATTCTTTAGACAGCGCCAGAATTATACGGCGACAGACGTCCTGATTTTAAAGCAGAGTTATAGTTAGTGCTCTAGGATTGGTTGGAAAAGATTCCAGTTGACGAATCGAAGGGATTCCTGGAAGTCCATGCCTCAAAGAGATACAAAAAATTGTTCTGACAAGTACAGCTCACACTTTACGAAGGGCTTTATCTATGTAAATTTTTTTTTTCAGTGGAAAGTGTCATGATGCCATTTCTATCCTTAAGTCCCTGCGCGGGACCTGGAAAGAAATGTGGAAACGCCAGAAATCAAAGGAAATAATAATAATAATAATAATAATACAACGCAAAAGACGAATCGGTAGTTAGTCTTAGATATCGTGATAAAGAAAAATATGGCGGTAAAATTGCAGAAAATATGGAAATAAGTTTCTGACAATATCGAAGAACAAGATTGATTGGAATTGTAAGGATATAATTCAAGTCAGTGCAAACGGCAACGAAATCGGAAATATGTGATTATCTTCTGATAAAATTTTAGACGACTATCATTGTACACGAAAAACAAAATCAAACTGACAGATTGACATAGCAGTATCACTTGAGAGAAACACCTCCATGAAAATGATTAAGAAATTGTCAAAATACAAGGATATAGAGACGAGATTAACACGATATGGAGGAATGAAGACTGAAAGTAAACCTATAGTAATCGGAGCACTGGGCCTCATGAGAAAGGGAAGGAACAATTTTACTAATAGTGTCCCAGGTAACATCAACATACAAATTGACCAGAAGATCGCCCTACTAGGAACATCCCGAATACTAAGAAAAGTGCTGCTAATTAATAACAATTCTCCTATAGGACCTAATGATCATAGTTTGGAATTGACTCAACAAAGCAGGATACATAGCATATGCAAATAATAATAATAATAATAATAATAATAATAATAATAATAATAAAAATGATAATACAATACAAGAGAAAAATCGGTTAGTCTCTGATATCGTGATAAAGAAAAAAATATGGCGTTAACATTGCAGATAATATGGAAATAAGTGGTGAGCAAATCGGAAATATGTGATTATCTTCTGATAAAAATTTAAATTACTTACATTATGCAAAGGTTTTGGACATTACTTTTCGAAAGCAAAAGATCCCTGATGTCATTGCCAGAAAATCATGTAAAAGCATGAATTATTTTCCATCCCACAAAATGTTTAATATCTAAAAAATCCCCCAGACGAATTGCATTTCTTTTTTCTAAGTGTTCAGATACGATGTTTAGCCATCATATACCATTTATCGTAAGAAGCAGTGACCCCACCACAATCACTGAGTTATTCAGCTGGAAAGAGAACAGATTGAAATCGTTTCGTGTCATCCCCATTGTCTTCCCAACTGAGCAATGGTGAGAGGAAAAAGATCATTCAGACCTTCAGTATAGGTACCAACATTTATACCCTTGTTTCCATCTCCAAAATCCATTCAGTAGAGCGGAAAACTGAGGCAGGAGGTCACAATAGGAAGACGCATCATCATTTCAACTTAGAGATAAATATGTCTATATTTCTGATATGAGGTATTATGTACACTATTTACATTATTCGGACAATTGTCCTCATCTTTGTTGCCATGTTTATTACAACGTTTCGGCCCTTCAGTATCTGTCTACATTTCTGAGATGAGGTATTATGCACACTATTTATATTATTCGGACTATTGTCCTCATCTTTGTTGCCATATTTATTACAACGTTTCGGCCCTTCAGTATCTGTCTATATTTCTGATATGAGGTATTATGTACACTATTTACATTATTCGGACTATTGTCCTCATCTTTGTTGCCATGTTTATTACAACGTTTCGGCCCTTCAGTATCTGTCTACATTTCTGAGATGAGGTATTATGTACATTATTTACATTATTCGGACTATTGTCCTCATCTTTGTTGCCATATTTATTACAACGTTTCGGCCCTTCAGTATCTGTCTATATTTCTGATATGAGGTATTATGTACACTATTTACATTATTCGGACTATTGTTCTCATCTTTGTCACCATATTTATTACAACGTTTCGGCCTTTCAGTATCTGTCTATATTTATGAGATGAGGTATTATGTACATTATTTACATTATTCGGACTATTGTCCTCAGCAATGAAGAACATTCAGAGGGGAATTAACAGGAGATAACTGATAACTGACATCCATTAAACATGGCACGTGGGACTAGAACAATCTAGCCTAGTGAACGAAAGAAAGAGTTCAGTTCGACATTCCAACCACCTGAAGAAGGTCTGAGCGTACAACGGCCGAAACCTTGTAATAAATATGGCGAAAAAGATGAGGACAATAGTCCGAATAATGTAAATAGTGTTGAAAAATACCTTCTTACTGTTCAAAATTAGGTTCGGTAGTGTTATAAAAACCTCGGAGAATTCCAGTAAGATATCTTTAATCATTTCTAAGATACAATGGTTCGAGGCTTCCTCTAAAGATATCGTGTATCGAACAAAGATACGGGACATCTTGATGTGCTTCGTGCAAGTGATGGTCACTATATAGAAGTGTATTCCAGTAAGATATCTTTAATCATTTCTAAGATACAATGTTTCGGAGCTTCCTCTAAAAATATCGTGCATTGAACAAAGATGCAGGACATCTTGATGTGCTTCGTGCAACTTATGGTCTTCATATAAAGGAGTATTCCAGTAAGATATCTTTAATCATTTCTAAGATAAAATGTTTCGGAGCTTCCTCTAAAAATATCGTGCATCGAACAAAGATGCAGGACATCTTGATGTGCTTCGTGCAACTTATGGTCTTGATATAGAGGAGTATTCCAGTAAGATATCTTTAATCATTTCTAAGAAACAATGGTTCGGAGCTTCATCTAAAAATATCGTGTATCGAACAATGATACGGGACACCTTGATGTGCTTCGTGCAACTAATGGTCCCCCTATGGAAGAATATTAAATTAGTTAAAATATTTCAATATCTACTCCTCTTGATGTAATAATTTCTAGTTTCGCCGACAAAACTAACCCGGCCGTTTGTCTTGAAAAGGACCTCTAATCGTTTGTTGACTGGGACAGGAATTGATTGTCTGGTTAACTTTAATGCCTCAAAAACAAAACTGCTCTCAATTACTCACTACAGAGAACCATCCTTGCCTCCAATTAGAATGTATGACGCTCAACTCCACGATAGCACCTCTTTGCAACTGCTCGGTCTCATATTGTCTGCTGATCTGTGATGGAACAAATATGAGTCAATAGCTTCGTCCAACACTACTAAAGCCGGCTCCCTGTGCCGCGCCAGGAAATTTTTCTCGCCGGAGACGATTCTTCAAATCTACAAATCAACCATTCCCCCTTGCATGGAGTATTGCTGCCATATATGGTCTGTGGCCCCTACTAATTGTCTCAAGATCCTTAATAAAATCCAAAGACGGATATGCAACATAATTGGCCCTGATCTGGCATCTCGTCTGCAGTCACTTTCTCACAGACGTGCCGTTGCCTCCCTCTGTCTTTTTTACAAATACTTTCGTGGTAACTGCTCCGATGAGCTGCTTTCGCTGGTTCCCAGACTGGCCTCTCGCTCTCACCCTTTCACTTGTCGAAACTGTTAAATGTAGCCGCCTCTTCTACCCGAATTGCTTCATCTCTCGCACTTCTCGCCTGTGGAACTCCCTCCCCAGTTCTTGTTTTCCTGATAGCGATAATCTTCAATTATTCAAATGTAATGTCAATCGACGTCTCCAGATGTTTTGATCTATCCCCTATCTTTCTTTTCATCCTTTCCTCTATCACTCCTCTTTGCTCTAGCTCCAACTGTCTGTAATCCCTTGCGTGTTAGTGGCTTCCCGCCTTGCTCGGGGTTGAATGCTTAAAAAAAAAAAAAAGTCTGTTCATTTGCTTTAGTAATAATATATTTAAATTGTAAAGGTGCTTTATGGAAACCCTGTACATTATTTTAATAATTTTTTTTAATTTTGTGAGGACGTGAGATCAATATAGAAAAGAAACAGTTCAATGGATGTTAAGAAAAGCATAAGCTCAACCCATAAAACAAAAAAAAAATGAGGAGATGAGGACACGATTTTGAAAAAAAAATGGCAATCAAGGGACGATCAAAGAGTATTTGACGATATTGGTAAGAAAAAAATTCTTTGAGGAATTACACAAGAGATTTGAGAAGGTAGCAAGCGAATTGACCAGCAAATAAATATTTTTAGAAGCTGGTGTTGGCGGATATACACCGGAAAAAAAAAGAAATTTCAAAATATAAAGAATAATGGCTCGAAATGATCCTAAACATCTTAAAGAGTAAGCTGGAGCAAAAGTATATGCTTAATTTATACGCCGTATACGATCAGGTCATGGCCGATTGTGTATCTCCAGTACCTCCTACCTATTGTAACATCTTAGAAATGATTGTCCCTTTGTCAAGCGTCTAAGACCGCATCCTGCCATTCGTTCACACAAGTCAAATAGTTGATCCAATGACTTCCCCTGTCTCTTTTTCTCCTCCATATGTCCTTTGAGTGTCAAATTCTCCAAGCCTTCTTTCATCATTATGTGTTCAAGTAATTTCAGATGCCTCATTCTGATTTCTGTGTACAATTGAATTGGCTAGATGCAACCGTAAGTTCTACGCTAAGAGTTTCTTCTACCGCTTTTCTCGCTTGTGGAATGCCGGCGTCTCGCTTTCCGGTCAAGTTTGGTGTTCAACAATTTAAATGCAATGTCAATCGTTATCTTCTGTCATCGTAATTCCTCTTCTTTTATTGCCCTTGCCCCTTAATAATGTTTTTTTTTTGTTGCGTTTTTCTTATACTCTTTAAACACCTGAGTCTTAGTGGCTTTATTGCCTTGCTTGGCGTGAAATGATTAAAAAAAATGTCTTTTTTGGTTCCATTTTGTTTTCGACTAAAAAAAAGACCCCGCAGTATAAAAAATATATTTCAGCAAACAAAATGGCATTTTAAAATATTCTTGTATTATTTAGAATTATTCTCTCATATTTGATGATATAGACGTTTTTATAGTCACAACGTTTCGACCAAGTACTCTCTTGTCATCATCAGGTGTCCACTGATGGTTTGATATGGGATATATGCTGATTATTGTATTATTTTTCCCTGTGATGTTAGTTATCTTAGTGAAAGCTATGAATCCAACTGTTCTCCCGCTGCCTATGGGTTAAATCGCAGAAGAGAAGGGTAACTTAGAATTCAGTATAGCGTGCATCCCTGACAGAGAAGACATTTTGTAGTCAACGAAAGGGTGAATGAGTTTACAATGGCACTTAAGAAACAGATAATCCCGATAAAGAAATACTCAAAAGATTATCTGATCCCGACGATCGCTGTTGTGGCTGAACGTAAAGTTAGAAAAGGAAGATTTTCTTAATTTTTTTTCATCTATTATATATATATATATATATATATATATATATATATATATATATATATATAATATAAACTCACTGTTCGCAGAACTCTACAATTACTGCTCTTCATTCCGAATATTTTAAAATCGGACAAGCATACTAATTTTGGCTATATATATATATATATATATATATATATATATATATATATATATATATATATAGATAATATTAGTGGAAAATATACATACATATGAAAAATATATCTAAAAAATTCCCATACATGTATATTTTCAGAAAAAAATTTTCCAAGAGGAAGGATCCAGGTAGAACTCAATGTCTAAGACAGAGTAAGGATATAATAAAAGGCTTAAACACTAATATTCCATGGTCATAATTTATTCCATTGGAATCGTAAATACGATCCAAATCATCAGACCTACAAATTCAAAATGAAAACAGAAAAAACAACTCCGGAAATCAAAACAGAATTTAGAGAAAGTGTAAGTATGAGGATGAGTGACAGAGAGAATTTTGGAGAGATGGGTGGGGTGGATTTAAAAAGAGGAGAGAAAGAAAGTCGACGGATGTCTAATACATAAAGATACATTTCGTGGTGACATATACACACCACAGACAATTCGGATAGGAAGGAAAAAAAAAAAAAAAAGAGAAAGGGTGGGGAGAGGGATGGGACGAAGGAAAATAAAATTGTGTTTACATAAAGGGCCGCTTTGTAATTGGGAAAATTAAATCAAATATAAATATATGAAGATGAATATAACGATTGTCTCATTTCGTAAGGACCAAATATTCTATATATATATATATATATATATATATATATATATATTGGAGGAATCGCGAATCGTTTTCAGGCTGCTAGTCAAGAAGCGAGATCACGATCTAAAAGGTCAGCCAATCTAACAGGGATCTCATCCCACAATCCTCACTCTTGCTCCACATGCGGCATCCTTTGACATTTAAGTCTATCGAACAAAATTCATAATTGAATCAATTGGTTAAGTTGTCAGATACTCATACGTCAAAAGCATTATATATATATATTGATAATATTAGTGGTTAATAAACATATATACATATATATATATATATATATATAAAATATATAAATATATATACAGACATACATACACACGCACACAAACACACACATATATATAGTAGTGCACCAAGTCTCTATATCTATCTATCTATCTATCAATCTATCCAAGAGGAGAGAATCCAGGTAGAACTTAATGTTCAGAGTAAGAACATATATATATATATATATATAAGGTAACGGACAGATATATATATATATATATATATATATATATATATATATATATATATATATATATATATAGGGAAACCGCAATCGCTTTTTGGTAGTAATGCGAATTTTTAAACATAAAATTTTTTCTCGTTGGAACAACTATACCCTCTTCCATGTATATATATATATATATATATATATATATATATATATATATATCCGTGTGTGTATGGATGTGGGGGGTAAAATATAGTTTTATTGCATGACCTATTTATGTCTAAAAGTGCGCAATATCAGAGATTTAGATATGAAAGCGGACACAGAGTTCAACACTGAGACGCGACAGTCTGTTTCCTGCTTGATCGAGAGATTCAGTTCATCACACTCTCTCTCTCTCTATATATATATATATGCGCGTATATATATATATATATATATATATGCGCGCGCGTGTGTGTGTGTGTGTGTGTGTGTGTGTGTGTGTGTGTGTGTGTGTGTGTGTATAAGTGGGGTGTGCGTGTGGTGAATTAATAAGTTTCCAACCTGAAAGGCAAGCAGTTGAATATTAATATGAAAATTTCACTGTTTAAATTATGATTTATTTCAACACTGAATAAACTAATTGTCTGGAAAGCCTAAATATTTATAATGCATTATAAATGTTTTCTTTCCATTATTTTGATACGGATATATTGATCATTAATGATATATATATATATATATATATATATATACATATATATATATATATATATATATATATATATATATATATATATATATATATATATATATATATATAGAGAGAGAGAGAGAGAGAGAGAGAGATAAGAGGAGGAACGTTAGAGTAGTGGATGGCGGCTCGGATTGAGGAATCGGATAGCCGAGTTCGAATTCCATTCGAATCCATTACATTCACTTACGTGCTAATAACCTTGGGAAAGGTATGAATTCTCTTCTCCCTCCAGCTATGGGTAAATAGCAGGACAGACTGGGTTCTATAGCCTTGGATGGCAACTGGTCTAGGAGAAGGACAACTTTGAATTCAAAACCTGCGGAGGGTCGTTTGGAGACCTTGTAGCCCGTAGTGCACCAAGTCTCTATATCTATCTATCTATCTATCTATCTATCTATCTATCTTTTCCTCTCTTTCTATCACATTTATTTTTTTTTTTGTTTGACTAAAGTTAATAACTAGCCCAGAGAATAAATATAGTCACGATTCCGTATCAGGGCAGACATTTTCTATTACAGATTGCACTGAGGATGAAATTTGCTAAAAAAAAAGCGGTAAATTATCACTTGGCGACGTCATAAGCTGTGACAGATACGCAAAGAAAGAAAGAAAGAAAGAAAGAAAGAAAGAAAGAATGATTGGAAAAACACGTCCTTGTCACCAAGAGAAAATAAATTGCAAATTAAAACGCAAGAATGAGGACACAAGCCAATGAATATGTTCAAATTTTATTTGATACCCGGTTGCAGAGAGGAAAAAGTCAATAGGGACTATAACAACAATCGATGATAAAATGTAGGAATAATGAAAAAATTGAACCTGTGTGAATAGAAAATTTAGCACTGAGGTCGACAAGATTAGCGACAGCCTGGCGAATGGGTGAAGGCAATCTTCAGGCCATGTGTGTTGGGTTTTAGCACAGCCTGTGCCTGCAACCGCCAACGCACACGTCGGGGACGAAAGCCTGATTGGGAGCCCCGGGAAGTGCTTTATGACTCTCTCTACCTTACAGACATCTTTCATTTCTATCTATATTTATATATACGTGACAAAGCAATAATTGCTGTTATTAAAGAATACAAAAATTCGAAGATTTTGACTTGATTATGTTTTTTTTTTATTTTGTTTGAATCCGTGAACTTTTTTGACATACCTAGCCTCGAAAAACACACACTACATAAACTTCACTATGTTGAATATGCTGAAGTTATTCAATAATTTAGCAAGAAAAATTGATGTTATAAATGGCCGCAAAACATTGTTCATTTATTTAAGACTAGCTTAAAAGCCGCCCGATAAACTAGCTCCTGCGGAGGCCTATTGACTGGGCCTTCTTCACAAGGAGTAGATGCGATAGGCAACAATAAGCTACAGAAGAACTCAAAATTGATCGCTCCATTTAAGTATTGCATTAATATTTAAGCTTACCTTTTAAAAGCTCAACGATAATTCTTCTGTCGCCACTTTAATTAAAGATATTTTGATGCACGTAGGTCCTTAATATCTATACAAACAATTATTTTTATTTCATCGGCGACTTTCTCTGGATTTTGCAATTAATTTCGATTATTCACGAATCTATTTCCAAGTTATCAAAATTGTTATCGCACAAAAAATTCTACACAAACAATCACGTAAAATATTTTTAATTTACTCAGAGTGGGCCAGATTCCAAAATGGTACCATATGTAGAGCTACGACATCTTGAATTAAAGTTGCAAACACGGACAATTTTATTTTGAAATACTGTAATTTGGGAAAAGTAATTTTCTTCATTTGAACATGAACTATTAAAAGTTAGAGAGTTGTCTCCCTGTAATTGTTTATATCAGTAGAAGCCAAGATGGCAGACTTCGAAGCCAATCGCAGTCATGAAAACTTGAGAACCTAAAATTTCAGGATTGCGAATCTGGATCAGGCCTGGAATGTTATTAATTTACTCACAAAGTGGGCCTGATTCCAAAATGGTATGATACGTTGGGATACAGCCTCTAGGAGTAAAGTGGAAAAAGGTGACACAGTGACACACTGGCATTTGCATTTATTATATAGAAAGATGAACTATTGAAAGTTAGAGTGTTGTTCCCTTTAATTTAAAAAAAAAGTGACACAGCGACACATTGACATTTGCATTTATTATATAGAAAGATGAACTATTGAAAGTTAGAGAGTTGCGTCCCTTTAATTTAAAAAGTGTGACACAGTGACACATTGACATTTGCATTTATTATATAGAAAGGTGAACTATTGAAAGTTAGAGAGTTGCGTCCCTTTAATTTAAAAAGTGTGACACAGTGACACACTGACATTGGCATTTATTATATAGAAAGATGAACTATTGAAAGTTAGAGAGATGCGTCCTTTTAATTTAAAAAATGTGACACAGTGACACACTGACATTGGCATTTATTATATAGAAAGATGAACTATTGAAAGTTAGAGAGTTGTGTCCCTTTAATTTAAAAAGTGTGACACAGTGACACACTGATATTGGTATTTATTATATAGAAAGATGAACTATTGAAAGTTAGAGAGTTGTGTCCCTTTAATTTAAAAAGTGTGACACAGTGACACACTGATATTGGTATTTATTATATAGAAAGATGAACTATTGAAAGTTAGAGAGTTGAATTTAAAAAAGTGTGACACAGTGACACATTGACATTTGCATTTATTATATAGAAAGATGAACTATTGAAAGTTAGAGAGTTGCGTCCCTTTAATTTAAAAAAAAAGTGACACAGTGACACACTGATATTGGCATTTATTATATAGAAAGATGAACTATTGAAAGTTAGAGAGTTGCGTCCCTTTAATTTAAAAAGTGTGACACAGTGACACACTGACATTGGCATTTATTATATAGAAAGATGAACTATTGAAAGTTAGAGAGTTGTGTCCCTTTAATTTAAAAAGTGTGACACAGTGACACACTGATATTGGTATTTATTATATAGAAAGATGAACTATTGAAAGTTAGAGAGTTGTGTCCCTTTAATTTAAAAAGTGTGACACAGTGACACACTGATATTGGTATTTATTATATAGAAAGATGAACTATTGAAAGTTAGAGTGTTGTGTCCCTTTAATTTAAAAAGTGTGACACAGCGACACATTGACATTTGCATTTATTATATAGAAAGATGAACTATTGAAAGTTAGAGAGTTGCGTCCCTTTAATTTAAAAAGTGTGACACAGTGACACTTTGACATTTGCATTTATTATATAGAAAGGTGAACTATTGAAAGTTAGAGAGTTGCGTCCCTTTAATTTAAAAAGTGTGACACAGTGACACACTGACATTGGCATTTATTATATAGAAAGATAAACTATTGAAAGTTAGAGAGTTGCGTCCCTTTAATTTAAAAAGTGTGACACAGTGACACACTGATATTGGTATTTATTATATAGAAAGATGAACTATTGAAAGTTAGAGAGTTGTGTCCCTTTAATTTAAAAAGTGTGACACAGTGACACATTGACATTTGCATTTATTATATAGAAAGATGAACTATTGAAAGTTAGAGAGTTGCGTCCCTTTAATTTAAAAAGTGTGACACAGTGACACACTGACATTGGCATTTATTATATAGAAAGATGAACTATTGAAAGTTAGAGAGTTGTGTCCCTTTAATTTAAAAAGTGTGACACAGTGACACACTGGCATTGGCATTTATTATATAGATGGAATGATCTATTCTGACAGGTCTCTAATTTGTTATTAAGATAAGTTTATTTATTTTTAATTTGTCCAGTTGAATTGTTCCCTTGTATTGCATGTGATTCATTATTTACATAATTAATTTACAAACAAATTTGTATTTTATATGAATATTACTTCATGAAAACTGAGATGTTCGTAGTAGGCGGGGTCGATTATCGAAGTGCTGAGTCTGCAGGAAATCCTGGCAACGGCGCTCCCGATGGTAGCACGGCTATTTATATATACTGGCAAATGGGATATTATTTGTTAATTGGTTAGGTATTTCCGCTTTATTGTGCTACCTTAATGGCCAACGGTTGTATTTTAATAATTAATAATTAATTAATGATATATATAATAATATAATAATTAATTAATAATATATATAATAATATAATAATTAATTAATAATATATATATATATATATATATATATATATATATATATATATATATATATATAAAGTATATCTTATAAATAAGATCATAAAAATATGAGAGATTTGCAATAATCAGACCAATACCAAAGGGTAAAAAAAAGGTATATAAAAAAGAATGATCCAAGAACATGTACGTTAGCCGAAAATAATCGTCTAGCATGCAAGTCCAAAGACCAAAGAAAAAAAAAACCCGATGCGAGTACGCAAAATAACTAAATAAAGTGCTCAATACGTAAAGTAGAGCAGACCTAATTAAACCTAAAGAGCCAGACACAACCTAGCAAGGCTTCACCTAAGCGGATCGTCAGGGAAGGCTGGCTTTCCTTGACGATGCGCTTACGTGAAACCTTGGTAGGTTTGTCTGGATCTTCAGGTTCAACTAACTAACTATATATATATATATTCATGAGTAAAAATGACAATAGGAAAACTGGTAATTTCCTATTGTCATTTTTATTCATAAATATTGTCTTCTCTACTGGTTAAATCGGAGAAATTTTCATATATATATATATATATATATATATATATATATATATATATATATATATATATATATATCCGATGCGATGAGAAACGAAAGTAATATATAAATTCCAACGTTCACAGCATTAATTCAACAGAGGGATCGATACCGATAATAGAGCGATAATTATTTATTTATTATAGTTTTATCATATAGACAAAACCATTTTACTCACTACAAAGATGCAACTTTGTTTCAGTGCATTTCAACTGCATTTCGAAGTTGCATCTTTGTAGTGAGTAAAATGGTTTGTATCTATATGATAAAATTATAATATATATATACTAAGACGTTTTTTCATGTTTATACGTGCTTTTTATAGATACAAATATTTAAATAAATGCTCTGTTTATAATAAACAGTATTAACGACATTTACCGGCCTGAATGTCCGAGAAATTTTCATAGAAAATATGCGTCCTCAAACAGGAATCGAACCTGCATCCTATACGGAATCGTCATATAGCCTGGCGTGATTTACCGATTGAGCCACCGAGGTGGCAAGGTCGATGTTACTGTTCTTAAACTACAATTCTCCATGATTTTTTCACGTACATTCATATCTGCTCGATGCGTATCCAAATGTAAACAAATGACGTCACACATTATGAAATGGACAAAGTCCGACAGTTATTTTAAGACATTTTTTTTTATGTTTATACGTTCTTTTTATAGATACAAAAATAGATACATTCAGGCCGGTAAATGTTGTTAATACTGTTTATTATAAATACATTTATATTATATTTATTTTACTTAAATATTTTCATCTATATAATGAATGTATAAACATAAAAAAAATGTCTTAAAATAATTCTCGGACTTTGTCTATTATATATATATATATATATATATATGTGTGTGTGTGTGTGTGTGTGTGTGTGTGTATAGAGGGGATTGAGGAGGAAAGGATAAAAGAAGAACGGGGATCCAGGCAACAAAAGATGGCGATTGATGTTGCATTTAAATTTTTGAAGATTGTAGAAGCAAGTAAACGGAAGGGAGTTCCACTGTCGGGAAGCGCGAGAAAAAATCCACTGAAGTAGAAGTGGCGGTTGCATTTAACTATTTCAAAAGTAAGTGGGTGGGGCCTAGATGACAAACTAATAGGGGGCTTAAATTCATGTGGTTAGGGCATCAGGGAAAAAATATCGTCAGCGAAGTTGCCGTGAAAATATTTTTAGAAAAGGCTGAGGGCAGCCGCATCACGTCTATGAGAGAGTGACTGAAGTCGAGATGCCAAGTCAGGACCGATTATATTGCAGATTCTTCTGTGGATCTTTTTGAGAACCTCGAGATGAACAGCAAAGGCATCACACCAGATATGGAAACAATATTTGATGCATGGATGAATGGTAGATTTGTCGATGTGTAAAATGGACTCTGACAAGAAAAACTTTCTAGCACGACACAAATTTCAAAGCACAGACAAGGTTTTTTTTCTGACTATATTTCTGTGATGAGGTATTGTAATTATATACACTATTTACATCAACCGTTGTACGCTCCGGCCTTCTTCAAGATCTGTCTATATTTCTGAGATGTGTAACTTTTTAACCTATTAACCTTTTTTTATTGGACTGTTATCCTCATCTTTATTGTCACGCTGTGAATATGACAATAAAGATGTTGACGAGTATATAAAATTGCTGCACTGTGCGCAGGATCTCGCTGGCAAGGCGATAATGCCACTAAGACGCAAGTTGTTACTGGCAGTGAAATAGAATGAGAATACGGAAGTGAGGGGAAAGGACACTTAGAGAACGGGGTTAACTCATTGACTCATTCGTTTTCCCTACTTTGCAGAAGATATTTTTATTTTTAGATTGTAAAAAAAAAAATGAATTAGTAATACAATTCTTACTATTTAACCCATAGCTGGGGAGATAAGAGGTGGATTCATACCTTTCCCAATGTTATTTGCGCGTGTGAATATAACGAACCCAACTTGAATTGGAACTCAGCTCTGCGATTAACATTTACTCAAATCACCTACATGTTCAAACTTACAGCATACAGTATTACCAAGCGGCCACCTATCTAGGTACTGACCAGTATCGACGTTGCTTAACTTCGTTGATCGTACAAGAACTGTTGTTTCAACGTGATTTGGCCGTAAGTCAAACCACCCGCACATCCAAGCTTACAGAAGGTGGGATTCTTAAGCGGTCACCCTTCTAGGTATTGACCAGGATGGACGTTGCTTAACTTTTTTGATCGTACAAGAACCGTTGTTTCAACGTGATTTGGCCGTAACCAAAACCGCCCGCATGTCCAAATTTACAGCAGCGGGTATTAACGTTCACCCATTTAGGTACTGACCAGAAATGACGTTGCTTAACTTCGTTGATCGTACAAGAAGCGTTGTTTCAACGTGATTTGACCGTAAGCCAAACCGCCCGCATCTCCAAACATACAATAGCTGGTATTCCCAAGCGGTCACCCATCTAGATACTGACCAGGATCGACGTTGCTTAACTTCGTTGATCGTACGGGAACTGATGTATTAGCGTGATTCGGCACTCAGGCGAACAAAATTCAAGAAGATAATTTGTGATTGAATTAACATTTAAATTTTGGAACATTTTAATGACATATGAAAGCAATGAACCGGAAGTGAGTTCACTTGGCGAACATTGTGTGTAAAGGAACTATCCGAAAAGAACTTACGGTTGCATCTCGCTTATTCAACAATAAGACAATGAGACCTAATTGCCAATCGAGTAGTACGTTTGAATTCGGGGTAGCAAGGAAGAGAGCTCATTAGAACAATTACCATTAAAATATTTATTTAAAAATAGATGGAGGGGTGGTACGCCAGGCTGATTGGAAAAATCAATGATGTTGAAGTGCCAATTATTGATAATTAAGTTCTCTTTCCGTCTGCTCCTAGGAGACAAAATCCCGTTACTAAAAATTCCAGCTACAATTGTCCTGACATTTTTTTCACAGATACCCGTATGTCCGTATATAGCTTTGTTCATTTTTTACAGATATTATTTTTTTATATGTTCATTCAAGACTTAGGGGATCACATCTCTCCATGGTTTCCTTTTCTTAGTTATCTGTGAATTACCATAAGGTGAATTCATTTTTTTTTCTAATAAGCATTTGTGATGTGCGGTCGGTGTAATATTTAGCTTCTCGGAATACAAAATCGGAAACTTGGGTCCAAGATCGTACTCCATGACGTTTGGAGTACAAAAAAAAAAAAAAATTAAATAAAAATAAAAAAATAAAAATAAGAAAAAATAAACAAGAACTAGACGAGATATCCCTAGAGATGGGTGGAGATATCCCTAGAGATGGGTGGAGATATCCCTAGACATGGGTGGAGATATCCCTAGAGATGGGTGGAGATATCCCTAGACATGGGTGGAGATATCCCTAGACATGGGTGGAGATATCCCTAGACATGTGTGGAGATATCCCTAGACACGGGTAGAGGAACGAAAACAATCTACCCTGGTAGAATAATTAAAGTGGTTCAGTTAAGAAACCTCTGTAAGTTACGCATATCGATATCCACCTGGAGAAGGCCGGAGACGCAACGCCGAATCTTTGCAACCACAATAACAAACATGTGGGCAATGATGAAAAATGTAAATAATGTATCAACGACATTTTGGCAATGAAAGCAGATTCATAGATCTAAGCATTTTCATTTTAATCGCCCGATCAGACTAAAGATCGTCATGTCGGGTTGATAAACCGTCATTGTTTTTTGTACTCTAAACGTCATGAAAAATTTGCGGTGTTATGTTATCTGTTGCCTATCGATTTCTTTTGATATTGTTCATCCTATCAAGAGCCTCTCAAGTGAGAGTGTTAGAAATGAGGTTGTTATTTGTATATAACGGTCGACCGTAAACTTGAAGAGGTTATGATTGAAAGCGATCGAAAACGAAATTGGCGGACAAACATTAAAGGTATATATATATATATATATATATATATATATATATATTTTGTTAATTGTTACACCATATCGAAATACCTATTCTCAAGTGCGCGAATGGTTCAGAAAAATTCCAGAACACAGGCTGATGTTTGGCAGCGATGTGTCTAGTTGGTTGATTTTCTTTAGGGGCATATCAACACCTCCATGGGTTACTTAATGCCGAAATCTAAATATTTTTAGGCGATATTTTATGATTTCATCTACAGATATCTTTATACTTCCAGTGTAAATGTATTCATTTTTTATATTTAGTTTGTAGATAAAAGGCATTGTTGGTAATTTAAAAAATAAAATATATTTACTGGGAATTTCACTACAGTAATGTATTTTTTGTAAACGTTTATAAAACTGTACTGCTGTTAATTTTACTGCAAAATGTATTTTTATATATTATTATTGTTCTATTGAGTGTCAGTTTGCGATAAAAATCTATTGTTGGTCATTATACTAGCAAAATATATTGTTTGTTATTTTACCATAAAATGTATTGTTAGTAATTTTAATACAAAATGTATTGTTGGTCATTTTATTATAAAATTAATTATTAATGTTATTTTGAAACTGTATTTTACTATAGAAATGTATCGTTGGGTATTTTACTACAAAAATGTATTGTTGGTCAGCTTACTAGAAAAATGTATTGTTGGTCATTTTACTATAAAAATATATTGTTGGTCATTTTAGTATAAAAATGTATTGTTGGTCATTTTTGTATAAAAATGTATTGTTGGTTATTTTACTACAAAAATGTATTGTTGGTCATTTTAGTATAAAAATGTATTGTTGGTCATTTTACTATAAAAATGTATTGTTGGTCATTTTACTATAAAAATATATTGTTGGTCTTTTTAGTATAAAAATGTATTGTGGGTTATTTTACTACAAAAATGTATTGTTGGTCATTTTAGTATAAAAATGTTGGTTATTTTACTACAAAAATATATTGTTGGTTATTTTAGTATAAAAATGTATTGTTGGTCATTTTATTAGTAAAATAGATTGTTGGTCATTTTAGTATAAAAATGTATGGCTTGCCATTTTAATATAAAAATATATTGTTGGTCATTTTAGTATAAAAATGTATTGTTGGTCATTTTAGTATAAAAATGTATTGTTGCTCATTTTACTATAAAAATGTATTGTTGGTCATTTTAGTATAAAAATGTATTGTTGCTCAATTTACTATAAAAATGTATTGTTGCTCAATTTACTATAAAAAATGTATTGTTGGTCATTTTAGTATAAAAATGTATTGTTGGTCATTTTACTCTAACATGTATTTAGTGGAAATATGCCTAATGATTCTCGAGTAGTTCGTGAAGACCCACTCACACACATAGACACACACATAGTCAGTTTTTTATATATAGATGCATTGTTAGTCATTTTACTATAAAAATATATTGTTGGTAATTTTACTACAAAAATATAATAAATAATTTATATTGCTAATGTTACTGTAAAAATATATTGTTGGCAATTTTGCTATCGAAACGTATTCTTGGTTATTTTACTACAAAATCTATTGTTGGTTAATTTACTATAAAAAGGTATTGTTGGTCAATTTACTATAAAAATGTCATTTTAGTATAAAAATATATTGTTGGTCATTTTACTAAAAAAATATTGTTGGTCACATTACTATAATCATATATTGTTGGTCATTTTAGTATAAAATTTATTGTTATTCATTATATTGTAGCATGTATTGTTAATTTTACTATGAAACTATATTGCTGGCAATTTTACTATAGAACGTATTCTTGGTTATTTTACTACAAAATATATTGTTGGTCAATTTACTATAAAAATGTATTGTTGGTCATTTTACTATAAAAATATATTGTTAGTCATTTTAGTACAAAATGTATTGTTGGTAATTTTACTACAAAAATGTATTGCTGGTCATTTTACTATAAAAATGTATTGTTGCTCAATTTACTATAAAAATGTATTGTTGGTCATTTTACTAAAAAATGTCTTGTTGGTCATTTTACTATAAAAATGTAGTGTTGGTCATTTTACTATAAAAATGTATTGTTGCTCAATTTACTAAAAAAATGTATTGTTGGTCATTTTACTATAAAAATATATTGTTGGTCATTTTACTATAAAAATGTATTGTTGGTCATTTTAGTATAAAATTTATTCTTATTCATTTTACTGTAGCATGTATTGTTAATTTTACTATGAAACTATATTGCTGGCAATTTTACTATAGAACGTATTCTTGGTTATTTTACTACAAAATATATTGTTGGTCAATTTACTATAAAAATGTATTGTTGGTCAATTTACTATAAAAAAAAAATATTGTTGGTAATTATACCACAAACATGTATTGTTCATTTTTCAATAAAAATGTATTGCTGGTATTTTTACTATAAAATTCTAATTTAAAAAAAAAAAAATCATTTTCCTAGTGTTTTGATTATTTTTGGTGGGTATTCACTATTTGCCCATAGCTGGCACCTTAACAGATGCTACCAATCCGGGTCAGGACGGAGCTGGGAACAACGTCAATTAATAGATACCCTCCTCCAAACCTTCAATCATCCGATCATAAACCTTGCTTCCGGGTGTAATTTATCGACATGGCCAAATCTAACAGTGTTATGGCATCAGCGTTATTTCGGACACAAGCGCATCAGTTTTCCAAGAGCGTAATCCTGGTTTGTTTGACTTGTGATTTTATATACACGCAAGCAAAGAATGCGGACGTAACCGTGAGTTATCTGGTTACGGGCTGTTACCTCCATGTCCAATCCACAGATATGGAAACACGTCAATTGAGGTCAACCCCAACAGCTGTGACAGGATAGGAAGACGAACGATTTTGTTCAAACACAGCCATCCTAATCCTCTAAGGTTCGTATTAAATCTCTATGCATTTCGATGAAACGCATCTTTTAGAATTAGAAACTTTTAACATGATATCCATTTAATCTCCCCGCAGAGTGAAAATCGACGCGGAAACATTTCAAGACAAAACCTGGAGCATGTCCTGCTTAATATCATCAGCAACATCTTGTATATACGTGGTTCGTTCAAAAAGTTATATGCCTCACCCAGAAGGAGCTGTCGAAACAAAACAGCCTTTCACTGTTTCAAAAAGTCCCCCTTGACTTCAATGCACTTGGTCAAATATGACATAGATATGATCTCATTGTTTCCAAAATAGTGATCATGCAAATGGGATTTGAGTTTAGGTGACAGGAAGAATTTTATATGGAGCTATTTTTGGTGAGTAAGGAGGATGGGGTGAAAATTCAAAGCCATGGTTGGCTGCTTCAGCTATTGAAACCTGAGCAGTATCGACGGACACATTATACCGGAGGAAGAGCACGCCTCCCCTAAGATTCTCAGAGACATTCGAATTGATTGCTCACTTCAGTTGTCTTAATTATCTATGAATACGCCTTCAGAATCCCCACCACCTAACAAAAAAAAAGCCATCACCTTGCCAAGAGATGATCCCTGCTTGAACTTCTTCGGGAGTGCAAAAGCAGAACATTTCCACTGATTTGAATCTTTGATTCAGTTTGGAAGT